CGTCCTCTTCATTCCCCCCCGCCCCCCCGTGGCACAATGCAGTTTATGTTACTCTTTAGTCGCCAGGGGAAAGTGATATTCCAGAAGCAGTATGTCCCATTATCTGACAAGGAAAAGAAGAAAATCACAAGAGAACTTGTTCAAACAGTATTAGCCCACAAACAAAAATGTGCAGCTTTCTGGAATGGAGAAACCTGAAGATTGTCTACAAAAGATATGTAAGCCTCTATTTCTGCTGTGCTATTGAAGATCAGGACAATGAACTAATATCTCTAGAAATAATTCTTTGCTATGTAGAACTTCTTGACAAGTATTTTGACAGTGCGTGTGAACTTGATATCATCCTCAATTTTGAAAAAGCCTATTTCATTCTGGATGAGTTCCTTTTAGGAGGGAAGTTCGGGAGACTTCCAAGAAAAACGTTCTCAAAGCCATTGAACAGGCAAATCTTTTACAGGAGGAAGCAGACACCCCACGTAGTGTACTTGAAGAAATTGGATTTACATAGATCTCCAATTCAGCTGATGACATCTTAGTGTTTCTTACTGTAAATGTTTACTGTTTTCATTGTAATGTTTAGCTAATGGTGTAAGATGCTGTTTGTCAGTATTACCATTTTGCTAAGCTGCTTCATTCCGGCCTATAAGCAAAATGCTCCTTTGGAAAGGGAACAAGAGACTAGAAGTCCAAAAAACACAAATGAAAGGGAATTAGATTTAAATAGACTCAATGTCTCCCTTCACTGCATTTACAGGAAAATTGCGTTTGACTTCAGTAAGTGTATTATTTTTCATAAGCAAATCAAGAACTTCTGTCTTTGTTCTTAGTAAAGAAGGGGGAGCTGTTGTATGAACAAGTCCAGAAAACAGTAGCACTTTGGAAAGTCAAAAAGTGTGTTTGACATCCACTGGTTCCGAAAAAAATAGTCGCTCTGGAAAAGGAAATGAGGCTAACCCTATACAACTGGCAATTTCCCCTTCTTGCAGAAGAAAATGTCTGTTGCCAACAGATGACATAGTATTCAAAAAATTAAAGTCAGAGAACGATGAAAATAGATTGCCACAAAAAGGAAAAAGAAATAAAACTAAAGAAGAACTTGACAAAGATGATGATGTAAGGGAGGCTACTTGGACTGCTGGAGGGACGGACAGGAAGAAAACATCAAGCACAAGAACAAGTGGAAGAACATGAAAATAGTCTTAACTAATTCAGTAATTGAAATTGCAGGGTTTTTGGTGTGAATTGATTTGCACTCAGATTTTTAAAGTTCAGATTTTGTAAAGAAAGTAATCACAGAATTATGATGTTATCAAAATGTATTCTTTAACTGTTTATATAGTGGTTCCTAAACCATGGGGTGCTTGTGTAAAACAACAAATGTATCTTTTTTTTGTATTTATCCCCCTTTTTCTGCTGATCATACAGCAGTTGGGAAGCCATATTACTTTACTGCCAGTTATAATTATAAGCTATTTTCTACTTCTTTGTTCTTAGTAAAGAAGGGAGAGTTGTTGTGGAAGCGAGTATAGGATCTGCAGGTGTGGTGGCTGAGCTGTAGGATCTGCAGGTGTGGAGACTTTGTTTTGGGACCAATGAGAAAAGGGATAAATAGCAATGGGATCACTCTGATGGTGCTGGTGCAGGAACTTGGGGTCCCTGCCTTCTCTGCAACATGTCTGCACTGCCACACCTGCCTTTGCTGCTACATGCTTTCATTGCCACAGGGATCTACCTTTTTCATGTTTTTTCAAGAATTGAAAGTTTTGCCAATGTGGTGTAATTCATGGAACAGTATTGAATTAAAGCTGGCTCAAACCTGTTCAGAACACCACTGTAGGAATAACTTCTACATAGTTAATATTATGAGGGATATAACTGGAAAACACTTGTCATAATTGTAATTTCTGCTTATCTCTTGTGTGATTTTTGAAGAGAAAAAATTGATATGCCTGTATTTACTTTCAAAAAATAGTAATTAAAAAGGCAAATAACATACACACTCACAGATGGTTAATCTATTGTGCAGCATCAGGGTAAAGGAATGCATACGTATTGGTATAGAATTATGGTTCTATTCTGCACTTCCAGATTCTGCTCTTTTCTTTCTTCCTCTTTCAAAGCATGAGTCCCCATAACATTTTTACTAATAAACATCAGTGAAATACAGTTTAGGCAGCAATCACTTTTCTTTTTTCTTCCCCCTTTGAAGTTAAACTGTTGAACTATTAAAACCCAAAGAGTGTTTTGTTCCTGTAAAGATGTACTTGGTCCTCGATAATTTTTAAGTTGTGATTATTAGGCTTTGACAACTGTACAAGACTCACATTTTCCCAGTAGTTCAATTTTTTGTAAATTCAGATTTCTTTATGGTGGTCTTGGTGATCTTTTAGCAGTGGGATGGGACAATGCACCCACTGCAGTTTGTGAACCTTAATTTATGGAGACATTAAAATGTTGGGTACAGTCTTTTTAATGTTTTGTTCTAGAGAATAGAGAATTAAGTTAAGGCATAATAAGAAATAATTCTATAATTTTTCTGTTCCATCTATTATCTGAGGTGTGCAGATCAATTTATTTACGTCTCAGTTATGAATTTGTGATTTATTATCAAATTCCTTAAAATCTCGATAGCGATTTATTTAATTCAAGTTTTTCCTTCTTGAAATTGTAGCCTGATACGGCTGATGATATAATTAGGAGGTTATTTTGTGTTTAGGAAGATGATTTGCAGAAAACAGACCTAATTGGACTTATTTAATGACAGATCTTACTGATGCAGTTGAAAACTACGTAGCAGAATATTCATTTTTCTAAAACTCGTGATGTATCATTCTTTAAAATGTAACTATTTATTGATGATGACTTTGGAACTTTAGTTTTGAAAAATCATTAATGGAAAATATAATTCAGTTTTTCAATATCTTAGGACTTGAAGTACAAGCAAACTACTGTAACATTTTTAAAAGCAATGTTAAAAACATTACCTATGTAAGTACTGTGAGAAATACTTTTTCTATTTTAAATGCTATTAAGTAACATTGTTTGAGTAGCATTTTTACTTAATTGAGTGCAAATGGCCTCTGAATTACACTATTTTATTCTATATGAGTAATTTGTCCCATTATGATGACTGTAATCTTTTTCTTATTTGTTTTTTACTGCTTGCCTTTTCTAGGAAGTAGAGGTTGGTATACATCTTCTGTCTTTCATGATTCTGTGCGGTTTTCATGTATACATTGATTCCTTACATTTTACTAAATGTAGGTTGTTTCTCCCTCTCCAGGATGATTATTTTCGTACATGGAGTCCGGGTAAACCATTTGATCAAGGTAAGATTCTGCTAACTAAAGTTATTTGTATGGATTAAAATTTAAGTCTTTATAATCGTGCTCCTGTTCTAGAATGCCTACAGAATTCTGTGAATTTGTGTCATTTCTTCCCTCTTCAAATGATTGATTTAAAGAGGGACAGAAATTTGGCCTAATCAACATTTGATATCTGTGATTTTTGCAAACTTTTATTGATTAGAGACAGAGGCAGGAGCATTAGGAAACTCCAAAGTAGCTTAAAGTTTCCCTCATATAAACAATTTTATGGGCCTTGGGAGGTTTTGTTTTGTTCTATTTATATATTTAAGTTAAACACTGTTGCATTTTCAGTAGGACATTTGAAGAAAAACAGGTGTGCAATCTGATACTTGTCTGTTGCAGTTAAAAAAAAAATCATTAAGATGTTGAAACTCTATTTATATCTGGCTGCTAAAAGAAGATCTAGAAAAACAGTTTTGGAAGTCTCTGTCATGTTCAAGTGATCTGTCTTGAGGCAACAACAATTTCAGCCTTAGAATAAATTGAGCAAATGCAGCAAATTTTCACATTAAATGTTCCCTCCCCAGGTATTGGAACTTAATATTTACTGTCAATATAGGCCACTTCATGTCTGTTGTTTCAAAGTGTATGACTACCATTATGAAACTACTGAGAATCTTGATGTATTTTGGTTTTTTTTTTTTAATTGCTCCAAGGAGCACTTCAGAGACTGTTCTTTTCTGATAATACCAATAGAACGAAAGTGATAAAGAAACAGTGTAGGGGCTGAGACCCTCTCACAAGAGACCGAGATATAAATATGTTGCAAAAATAATGTTTACTTGATTTAGAGAACTTTCTCCATAATGGATACTGACTTACAAGGGAGATTTATAATGAATTGTATTTTATTGCAACCGCATCTCTTAGAGATGGACTTTCTACAGTGTTCTATGCCATTGTCATTTTAGTTTAGGATTACTGTAGTAAGCCTGTGATGGGAAATCCCTTCATTTCTTAAATGAATGCACTGGGCTTGTTTTGCCAGTTTGTGGGAGAGAGGATGGGGCAGGGGGGAAGTCACATTTATGTTACTGCTACACGGTGAATTGTGGCAATTTTCTTCTGTTTTGGTGGAAATTTCTAAATGTTCATTTAGATCCACGGCAGCCTGAATATTTTAGAACCTGACAATAACTGAAAATTAACATTGAAGAGTGAAATGCATTTACTGTGTAGTTTTATCTACATTTTACTATGTAATTTATAACTGAAAAACAAATAATGCTATTTGGGAATGCTTTTTAATAATAAAGGGTCCACTGAAGTTTTATTTTTAAAAAATGTTGCCAGTGTCTTAATTTGCCAGTCTATCATTTAAGAATATTAGGTATTTTTACCTGCCAGTGCCCTGCTTTTCAGTTTTTCTGCAATAACTGTTCTAGTCCTTGTATTGAATTTAGCTGAATGATACTGAATTGAGCTCTATGTCAAAAGATTTCCAGTTTCTCAAGAATTAGAAGTTTTCTAGACTCTGATTAACATACAGATAGTCTTTATTAATCAGAAACTTGCATGCTGTTACTTTTTTGAAAGTCTATGAATAACTGCTGACTAGATCTAGGAGATATACTAAAAGACAGAAGGTTTCCCAGTCATTATGGTCTCCATGTTGTCAGAATTGTCTGCTTTTTACTCTTGGGTATAATGGGAAATTATTTTTTTCAAACACAGCAAAATATTCCTGAGAATAAAATATAACTATGGAAGTACCATGTACTTGTTCATACATTCCAGTCTCTCTCATCAGATGGGAAAAGTGATCATGGGTGATATCTTTTCATACTTCAAAAGTGTGGCAACCTTGCAAATGCCAGTTGCTTAGGAGTGAATATAATGTTAATGATTTAATGAAGAAATCAGGTCTTTTATGTTTCTCTATGTTTGCCAATAAAAGACATACAGCAGTGACAATCTTAGTACATCTTTGTTTTCCTCGTATTATTTAATGAGAGAGGAAAAAGTGAGAGTTGGTAGTCTATGAAAAATAAGTTTTAGATGTACATTCTGATAGTCTCTGTGTAATTCCAGAGCTGTGCCATAAGTGCTGCACCAGCGTTACTCCACTCCGGTTGTGTGCTACTTCACTACTAAGTTTAAACTAAATAAGGCTTAACTATTAATTAGTTCTTTCACCTCAGTAACCATACATGTAGACTTATGGGTTTTTTGGTCTTTTTTTTTTTTTCTTTTACCAAATTGAACTATTCAAAACAATAAATGGGAACATCAAAAATGGCTGGAGTCCTGTCATCTCTTGGGGCTTGTTGCAAGCCAAGCAGTCTGTGTTAGAGAATCTTTATTATTCTGTTACTGCCATTCTGGTTTGTACAGCAGTTATTCTCTCAAGTGAGACCATTCCATAAAAAAGGATCTCCCAAATGAAAACGTGAACTCCTAAGTGAAGACAAATTTTTAAAATGTAGCTATAAGCTTGCTGTAAGAAACCAAAATTGCTCACTAAAGATGATGTTTATCAGGAGCAGTAATGACTTTTCATGTCTGTTGTGTTAAAGTTTATAATAATACTGCTGAAGATGCAGTCAAGTTCTTTGAAGACAGAAATAAATAACATACTTAATTTAGCTCTGTCAGTGTTTTATTACTTTTCATTTTATTTGTTTTATGAATATCTGGCTTTTCAGAAACTTACCTATAAATCTGTCAAAGTATGGAATAAGCAAGGAATCTATTTGGCATTAAAACATCTGAAGTCTAGCTCTACTGGACAGGATTATTTTTTTTTCTATTTTCTGTGAAAACAATGGATTATAGGAGTTACTAGTGCTTTTACAGAAATACTTTTTTCTTTGCTGATTTAAATTATAGCAAATTTACATGGTTAAATTAAAGTAGATCTTTGGAAGTTTAAAAATCTATATATGAAGAAAATATGAAGGCCTTTAAACTGCATAAACCTGAGCTGACCACATGTAATAGTGGTGGTGGTGGAATATTTAGCTTCATGTCTGTGTTTGCGAATTGTTAGTTTTCATTTAAAAAAATTCAATCTTTGTTACACCCTTTTGGTTTATAGGCTGTTGTGTAGGTACCTGTTACACATGGAACTCCTTGTTGATATCACTAGTAGTCAGACAAATGGGTTCTCATTATTTGCATTTATTATTTTGTGTATCCATATTCTGTTCAAAATCAGCAATACATGGGGACCTTTTCCAAATTATTTTTAGCCAACACCCATATTAATTTGCAGGTAGTATTTTTGAAGAACCAGAGCTTGTCACGTAGGCATATCTTTGAGGTCTACACATAGTTACTATTTTCCAAAGACTTATGTGATTCTTAAAGCCTTTTCTAGGATTTCCATAGATTGACTGTATGTTTAACATTTATTTTTTTCAAAATGAATCCTTAGTCTGGACCCAAATCTTAAAGCTAATATTTTGTTGCAAATTTTGAAAAGTCTGTGGTTCAAAGAATCAATAGTTGTGCGTGCGATAATAAAATGAAAATCTTAAGTGTCTTAATTCACTCTTTGCTTTGGTGTATTTTGAAAAACATTCTTATGTTCATATGATTCTGTATGTCAAAATTGCTCAGGTAGACAGATCTGTGTAATTCTATTGGTATTTATGAGAGTGGTTATGTGGAAATATATGTCCAAGCATTACAGAAGGTTACTCCTGGGCTGAAAAATATAGAAGGAAAAATACTGTGACTTGTGTTGCAATCCACCAGTGCCATTCCTTAAAGCAGCATCTGACATTTGTCCAAAGAGTACTTGTTCACATTGAACTCTTCTGCTTGTATACATACAAGATAGAATGTATTTAAATAAATGTTTTGACTGTATATGATACACACACACGCAAATGTTTATGTATTTCTCTCATATATATATCACAATGTAAATTCTTAATAAAAAATCACGTGGTGCAGGTATGATTGTTGGAATGAATCTGAATGTTGTGTGAATCTTATTTAGATATTGCTAAAAGGCAAGTGGCAGTGGTTTTAGGAAAAAGGAATTAGGATGGTTTGTGTTTTGGACTCTTCAAAGTTGAGTATTTTAGTAGCTTTAATGTATGTTTTATCAGTGTTTTCTTAAGTTAAAAAAACCAAACAAAACTTGCTAAAATGTGTTCTTCGTATACCACTTTTACATCAGATAAAAATACATAGGATACTTCTGGTACACTTTATTTTTAGACTACAGATGGTAGCAGAGCTTGGAGGGTGTAGCTATTGAATAAAATGGTATACACAAAGACACTGGTGTAATTTTTTAAAGCGCAAAGGATGTTTTCCTTTGCTCAATAGAAATACTTTGGAGGAACAGTGGAGTATTTTCCTGTAATGGAAAAAATACAAAATGACATTTCCATGGAGGATGAGCACCCTTAAGGTATAGTTGGTTTGTAGATATATTTATAACATTTCTTGTAGACCATTCCACTGAATTATTTTTGGCTTTTATAGTATCAGAATATATCAGATGTCTGTTTACAGCAGAAATATTGTAGATACCGTTTTACAGCAGAAATAGATTTTGAAACAATTTCAAACACATTTCAGTCGAGTCTTTGCCTTTTAGCTCTTTATATGTCATCTACCTAGTTCTGTAATAATTTGGATAACTAATGATATGCAAATACATGCAAACATCTAAAATTTGTGAATACATTTCTGTACTGTGAACTGAAACCATTTAGAGAGTCATATACAATAAAATAATTTGATTCACTCATTTGCAAGCCCTAGGAAGTCATAACGGAGTTTAATGAAGATCCATCATTAGTTGAAGACTGAAAACAGTCATGTAGATTTAACTTTGCCACATTTGGTATATGCACTGATGATCTAGTTTTTATAGCAAACTATTGATGTTTTAAAACCAGAAATACATATCCATCACTTTCAAGATAATTTTCAGTACTTTGCAATGAAAGTGCATCACATGTCACTTTAAATATAGTTTAGTCTTAATAGCAAATAAGCAT